TCATATGGGACAAGATTCGAAAGGTCAATGGGTGGTATGCTTCTCATCTCTTTTCCATCTTGCTCTGCAATGGCCAGGAAGTTGCTGATGTACAAAACATTGTTGATACTCTCGTTGAGAACTGTGCTTATCTTTCCAGCACTTCTGTCTCTTCCTCTGCTTTCTTGGTCATCAAGTCTCGGGCAGATTCGCGCCAGTTGGCAGTCATAACAAGCTTACCCATATGAAACCTTCTGTTGCTCTTTGGCGATCTTATTTCCAGGTGGAGGATGTTGTTCTGACTAAGCTACGTATTAGTTACAGTTCTTTAGCTCATCGTTTTCTTTTATCTGGTACTGACCCACCAATGTATTGTCTTTGTGACACTCAAGTCACAATAGCCCAAATTTTATTGTCGTGCCGTCGTTACGACTGTGAGCGGCGGCACCATTTTCGACATATACTTCCTACGGGTTTAACCCTCACGTTGAACGGTTTCATTGGCGATGGTAACACTGTCTAACTTGACTGTGTTTTTCGTTTTTTGCGGGTTTTAGGGCCTTTTATTTCTGTTTAAATCTTTTACCTCAATTTTTAACATTGTTTCATTTTAACTCAATTTATTTTTACATTTTATAACAATTTTACTTTTACAGTTTTTACCGGTTGTGGTATGGAAGTTGTCCATAAAAACATTAAAATGATGTTGGACTTACCATCTTCATAGTAAAAAGTTTTGTCAGTAAAAAAACTATCCTTCATTTCCAAATTTGTTAAAAAAAAACACACACACTTCATCCGTATTCAATTATTAGAAGAAAACAAGAATTATAAAACCATTAATTAGATAATTGAGCACCATTCTTCCTCCCATAATTCAAGTATAAACGGGCTGACACAGTCTTTCCAGGCCCAGTGTACTGAATTGAGTCACAGATCAAATGATAGAATTGATTGCTTGGCTTGTTGTTTTAAGGTGTTTGTAAATCCGGTGTGTGTTTATGCACACCCAGGCACGATATTTCTAGTTGCAAACAAGAGAGTTACTATTATTTAAAAAATGAAAGATATGAAGGAATAAGATACTATCAAACAATGAATATATAGAACCCTTGTGATAACAAATACCTTAGACAAAGTTCTACTTAGTGATTATTGTAACATAAAATACATTTTGAACCGTGTCACAAATTGTTTGAGAGCCACTTTCCACTCTAAGTAGGAAGGAAAATGGGTTCATTTTCAAGCGTCTCCAAGGGGGTTCTGCAATGGGCACAAAAATGAGAGAGTAACAAACCAGTCTTATGCAACCTGTAGTCTAAATGATCCATTATAACATCTTGTCAACGGTGCTATAATATAGAAATAAGTTTATTTAATGGAAATAGAAAAATTAAGAATTGTAGTGGTTGCTACCTGCCAGTGTCTTCCCTGTGGGTTGAAAATTCAAAATTATGGACGGTGGCAAGTAGTCTTCGTAGCTTTGTCATAAAAAACAACAAAAAACTTTTATCTTAGTTTTTATTTTTGACATTGTAAATATATACTAGAATCATATTGGGTTTAATAAACATTAGCTTCAAAAAAAGTTATTTTTTGTAACTATGAAATCTCGCCAAAATAAACGTAAGCCTAAATTATTTGTTTACTTGAATTTTATGGGAATTAAAAGCTTGAATAATCTTTTCCATTTGAAAATGTAATAATGTTGTTAAATTATAATGTGGTTTATATTATTATAAGCTGTGTTATAATTATTTCTTTCAAGATCAAAAGGCAACTACGACTTTTCGAGCTATAAAGTAATATGTTAACCCTAGCAAAAATTATAAAATACAGCATCAGATTATTTTAAAAGTTTGGACCATTTTGGACACTGACTGATAAAAGTTTTATATAGACAACACTTTAGTACATTTTATGACATTCATGTGTCGTAAAACAAATTTTTAAAAATATTTTAACATTCGAAGCTTTATTGTTAACGTAGGAATGAGCGGCTTAGAAAATGAACTTTTTGACTTGTTTTCTTAGCTCCAATGACGAAAGACCGTGTATTTTTCCGAGAGAGTCTGGACTCGACTGAGTACATGAAAATGTTGGCTTCCGTTGATCGAAAGTTAGTTATGGAAGAGATCCTTGAGAAACGACGTCAAGCACTTACTATTCCAGAAATTGCGTATGATGACGTGAGATACATAGACGAAGTTTTTGTTGACATCAGAGAACTCACAAGTGAAAACAGAGAAAACGAATGTAGCAAAATTATTTACAGATAGCTTTCTTTTTTCAATTCGCTGATATTCACACCCCGAAATTACACAAAACCAATATACCTTTAAATTAAGTTTTTCAAAGTTACGTACATCGTAAAATATTAAGAATTATTAAGAATTGAAACCCTTTTCCCAAAACCATTTGGCAAGAAAATATCGCAAGGAAAAATAGCTGTTATTTAAGTACTCGTCAAATTACTGGCGAAAATTAAATTCATTGATCTCATTCTTGCTCCTAAAATGAGGATTTAGTTAAGGTTAACTAAAAGTGAGCCAAATATTAGAAACGCAACCAAAGTTTTTTTTCTTTCTTACATACAGTGAAATTCGACATCTGATTGAAACTAATTTCTTTTGTAAGGAACATAAAATATATATTTTACAAGGAAATGATTCATTGAAAATATATCGTGGAGGAGGTTCTGTACAGTCACCAGGGAAAATTAATCTCGCATCATTTAAGTTATTTAATATATGTTGGAATTAAGTTTGATGTTTTCCATGAGTTGAAAATCCCAAAGATTAAAATCACTAAAAAATTAATAATTTTGATCCTGAACGTAAATCTCTTATAATGGAGCATGACGTTAAAATAGTTTACTGAAAAACTTGTTTTCTTCTACCTTTCGGAGCTAACCAGGGCGTGATACGCATATTCCAGGCAAAGAAAAATAAATTAACTACCGAAAATTTCAATTCGCAATGATTCGCTGATGCGTATATAAGTCATTTAGCAGTACCACCTGACCATATGGAAGTTTTCGAAGATGACTTGTGACCTTTACTACAGTGGTCGCTAAATGTAACCCCCCCCCCCAAAAAAAACGACAACAAATGGTCCCATTAGATGTACTGTTATTCAAAAATCAAACAACGATTCGGACGAAAATTAACAACTTGTTTTGAGCATCTAATTTTATTATTAGTAAATGTTTTTGTTTATTGTGGTTGCAAATTTTTACATCGGAAAAACTTTAGTCTGGATTATAATCCCACTGTTTGTTAACAAAATATGTACACTTTAATAACGTATTTGCGAAACAAATGTTGCTTTTGAGAGCAGCAGTACTGTCTTCTTGATGATTTTTTAAAGCTTAAAGCATTTTTGAAATGTTTGTTCTAAGAGTGTACAATTTAACTTCTATAATCCTTACATGCATTTTCCTTAATTGAAGATTTAAAATATCCACGATGTTGGTTGTTTAGTTTTATTCTTTCTCAGGAGTTTTAAAAGATTTAATAAGTTACTAGAACGTGTGGTAGATTTTATACTTTTATATAAAATGTTTGAGTGCTGAACGACCTCATGTAGATGTGAAAAATAAAGGTTTTTGTAAAATGATGAGACATTTTTTTTTCAGATTCACTGTTAATAAAAAAGTAAGTGAATGTACTAACCATAACATAGTGTTTTTTTAGAAACAAATATGCCGCTACTTTCCCTTTATGGAGTTTATTAAGAAACTTTTATTAATATTTCAAGTTTAGAAGCACAACTCACTAATTAGATGTTAAAGGCAATGGCGGAAATTGGTCATTAACTGAACAATGTCGTAATTTCCCTCCAGTTTTTTTTACATTGATCACAAAAACCGGCGAACCTTGTCCTAAAGTAAGAATTAACAGAATCGACTGCTCAAGGTACACCGGGCAATGTTGTAAAGTTCCAAAGTATTCTATTTAATCATACTTAAAACAACATAACCCAATATATGGGGCCAAATTGTCAGAGACTGGGGATTGTAATCAATCCAAGAGTAAAGGGAAATTACTACATTGGCTGGACTTCGGTCATTGGCAATAAAATATATATATATATAACATAAATGCCATTTTTGTTCATTTTTAATACCAAATTACCTATTAGCCTAAGAAAATTTAAAAGGTACATATAGTGATATAGAAAGATATCACGAGTATCGTAAAATGCCCTTTTTTTATCTGAAAAGAAGAATAACCGTATTATTATGTAACAGAAGTCGAAATTTAATCGTGAGAACATTTTCGGAAGCAGTTTATTAGTAGTGATTTCATTCATGCAACCAACATAAAGGTTGAACAAAATGAATAAATTATGTATTAGAATGATTAGTTGTTGTTTGTAATTAAGCACAAAGCTACACAATTGGCTATCTGTGCTCTGCTCACCACTGGTATCGAAACCCGGTTTCTAGCGTTGTAAGTCCGCAGACATACCGCTGTGCCACAGGGGGTAGAATGATTAGAGCATGAAGACCTTCAAGTATCTATTTCTTCACTATTCGGTAAGTTAACGATTGCAAAATTAGGCCTAACAGCCTAACACTAGCTTAAAATGTTTTATCTGGCCACTCGACTTTCAATAACCAATTAATCACTTTTTTCAAGGCTTTATTTAATGAGAAAATTGTAAGTTAAGGATAACCTCCAGAATAGGCGAAACCTAGCTGGGTCTCACATACGTGTACTGAAGATAAAAGTTTCAAGCCTGTCGGACGTCTATTGGAATTGAAATAAGTGGTGTGAAATACATAAGGAGGCAAAAAAGTGCTTTTAGGGCTAACAAAAATGATAACAATCACGCTTGAATGCAGATTTTTTCTCCTCACATTCTTCCCAATTATTCGCTTCGCGAATTTAAAATCAGAAGTGTGTAAAAATAACATTTTCAAATCATTTGCCCGACACAAGTCACTACCCCAGGCTAGAAACCGAGTTTCGATACCCGTGGTGGGTAGAGCACAGATAGCCCTTTCTGTAGCTTTGTGCTTAATAACAAACAACAACACTACCCCAGAAATATTCACGCTTTCGATTCGAAATTCGTAAAAAACTAAATAAGAGACAAAAAGAAAGAATGCAGTCAAGCGTGCAAATTACCTTTTAACTAGTAAACATACACATAAGTAATCGTGTATGATGTATAATAATATTGAAATTATTATCAGAACTTATAAAAGTAGAGTGTGTAATTATAAGCCAACCACATTATATCTGCTATATTCGGTGCCGTTGAGGCCTTTCTCGAAATAACAGTGCTCATTAGGTCGGCTGGAATGCTGTGGTATGCAGGCATACCATGCATTTTCTACCTTCTTATTTTAATGTAGATAGTTTCAAATTTGCAGGCATATCATATGTTTTTTACTTACTTTAGTTATACAGAAAATTTTTAAATATTTTGTTTCTATTCAGTGAGAAAGTTGTGTTCTCTCTAAGCTGGCTCACAATAGTAATAGCACGACTGTTAATCCTGGTTGATGAGAATTTTAGTTGAAAAGTCTTTGGTCGCTGAATTCTGCTAGTAATATTTATTTCCTGATGCCTGAAATGAAAAGTAAGTTGAGGTTGGCGGCTCCTAGATGACAGCACATTATGGCACCATCACTAGGGGATGTAACTTCGGAAGGTCACGGAAGTGCTACAGCTGGAAGCAGCCTATTATAAGCTCTTAAAGTATGTGATAATGTGTAATTGTGATAAATGTACATAATAATGTGGGTATATAAATGCATACAAGTGTGTGGCCTAATACTCGTTTATGAACATTACACAAAGGACACAACAGTAAGCAAAGTGTGTATGGAGACAAAAGATATATTTTAAGATTAACTGTTATAACTGACGTGGAAGGTATTATTTGAAAATATAGTGCACCAGTTATTTTCATTAATTCCGACGAGAGAGTGTTTCAATTTTGGCATTTAAATAAATTGTTAGTAGTGAATTTTCATGGAAAACATAAAAGTATCAAAGAGACTCGTACTACATCTGAGAGAAAACAGTTTTAACTATGTGTTTTTCATAAAGAGTAGTGCAATATATTTTTATTGGATCGAACTGAAATATTCATGAGCGATTGATATTATTAGTACAATACAAAATTCACAGACGGTAGCTTAGTTATCATAAGGAATGTAAACTTGGTGTACCCAGTGTTTTATTTGGTTCTGATAAAATACACTTGGTCGTGCAGATTGAAATATTTTTAATAATTACAATTTTACTAGATAGATAGAGTGGATCCACAGCTGGCTCCATCCTTGGTAAGTAGTCTCAATGGAAGCTTCCAAGTCCTCAGAAAGTTGAATTTCTGCTAACAAGTTCTTCTCTGAGTTACCCAGTTGGTCATTATCTCACTGATGTACTTCCAAAGATGACCATGGCTTGGATTGCCTGTCCTTCTGAATTGTATAATACACATAATTGATTACTTGTATTATAAGGTATGATCCTTCCGAACACTCACTTATATTTGTAGTTTGCCTTCTCTTGGGCGAAGAACTGATTAGCCCTACCCTATCACCATGACGTAATACTGATAAACTGGATTTAATCATAGTGATAGGGTAGAGCTTTTGTTTATTACAAGTTGATTTAAATATTCCTTAGGTAAAGACAAGTCCAACACTTTGTTCTTCATATTCACAAGATCTCTTCCAACCACCAATTCCCTAGGAAACGCTAGAATGCCTGGTTCCACTATGCCCCACTCACTAGATGAAGATTTATCGTTAATAATTTCTAGTATGAGTACTTTTTTTCTTAGTGTACAGGGAACACCATCCTTGTTATCACTAGAAGTTTAACCTCCAGTGTGGAAATTGTCATGTAGCACATAAGGATTTTCTGGTAATAGACTATGAAGCTATATGAAGCAAGTTTAATCTTACATCCATATCTCCACGTGGAGTCAGTTCTCAATGTCAATTACCCACGTATCATGAGGTACAGAGAAGCTTCCCGCAATAAAAGCAACTTTCAATTTCCTTTTGCTGGAACTTTATGTCCTTTTGCAGTTTGCGTCAATCCCTTTTCTTTCTTCATATCTGGAGGCAATTTCTCTCCTTTCTTTTTTAACAACTCGTGTCAAACTTATGTAGCTGTAGAAACAGTGTCACTCAAAATACTGCAGGTTTTTTTATCAGTAACCCCATGGACAGTTTTCTTCAACTTCATCCTACAAATCTAGTTCGTTCCTTCCTTTTTTATTAAATGCATGCCCTTGGGTTAATGTCTCCTTGGCTTAATAACAAATATTGATACCTTAAAGTTTTGGCTGTATTAGCCATAGTTCCCACAATTACAACAGTCCCCTATTTAACTATTTATCTGCAGCTTTAATAGATTCAAGCTCCATTGCCAACTGAAAAGCTTCTTTTAAAGATGTACACCCATTTTGCTTCAGTGTGCTATTCACACCCTTATCTGATATGGCATTCATAACTTGGTCATGTGCCAAAGAATCCATCATTTCATGAGAATCATCTGGATAAGAGAATTATGCAAGCCCCCTTTCCAACTCTTCCATTAGTTTGGTTAAAGTATATTCTTTCCTCCATACTTTATTCTAGCACTTTGCTCTAAATACTTCTTTCTCGTGTAACACACCAAACATGGTGGATAAGGCAACTAACAGTGCTTGATAGGTGTTAAAGCTTTCAGTTAGATGGTTACTTAATGTTTTCAAAGCTGATCCTTTTATACAAGTGGCAAGATGAATAGCTTATTGTTAAATATTCCTTCCATTCACTTTGGAAATTATTTTGAACTGAGCCTTGTATGCTTCTTGTGGAACTGGTCCGGCATGGCCGGGTGGCTAGGGCGTTCGACAAGCAAGCTGTCACTGCTAAGTTAAGCACGGCTAGCACAGATAGACCTTTGCGCGAAATTTAAAACAAACCAACCAAACAAATCCTTTGGAACTTTCCCATCACAATCAGTTGGTTCCCACTTGTCAGATGTTCAATGTTCTCTTGTACTTTGCTTATTACTTCATTGATTTTGTACTTCTTCATTCTTTGATCTTATTATTGTAATCTCCCTCTACATCTCTAATAACTTCATCAATCTTTTCCTCAATCCAATTTATTTTTGATACTATTCTTTCAACAGTACATCCCTTTCTTTTAACTCTTCTTTTAAATTCCTGTCACATTCTTCCAAATGTCTGTTTCTTTCGGGACTGGCATGGCCACGTGGTTAGGGTGCTCGACTTTCAAGCTGTGGGTCGCGGGTTCTAATCCCCGTCACACCAAACATGCTCGCCCTTTCAGCCGTAGGAGTGTTATAATGTTACGGTCAATCCCACTATTCGTTGGTAAAAGAGTAGTCCAAGAGTTGGCGGTGGATGGTGATGACTAGCTGCCTTCCCTCTAGTCTTACACTGTTAATTTACGGATGGCTAGCGCAGATAGCCCTTGTGTAGCTTTGTGCGAAGTCCATAACAAACAAACAAACTGTCTCTTTCTTCTCATTGTTTATCCCCTTCTTCTAGTACCTAACGATTGCATCATCTTAAGAAACGCTTAGCTTTCATTCTTTGACCTTCTGGTCGTTATCTTCAACAGTTAAAGTTCTATTTCAAGTATATTCAAAGTTTTATTTTATTTTTACCAAAATAATCCCACCCCTGGCATAAAAATGTAATGTTGTTCTTTTAAATTACTTGGTAAAAGTAATTCAAAGTCAAGTCCACTAATTATATTATTTATTTCCTTCTTTAACGTTCCTACACGCTTAAACACTATGGTAGCTTGTAGAACACGTTAACTGTGTTACACTAACTTAAAGATAAACGTACTTGTAGAAATTCACAGTTGACCACTCAACTAGCAGTAATATCTGTGAATTCGATGAAATTAGACTGTAGCAGTGGGAGTAGCGGATCAAAGAATAGATTAGTATGTCATATGTTATCCAAAAAACTTTTAGGTTGTAAGAGAGAGTAAAGGACTATACGTCTAGAACAAAAGAATATATATATACATATCTCATAGTTTTCGGTTGAATAATGCTGTAAATATATATGTATTTTTCAATATTATGACTAGTGATGATTAATAATTTATTGTAGCAAATTGTATGGTATAATATAAATATGTGAGGTCATTCTACAAGTACAATGAAGAAACTGACAAAAGTAATATGATATTAACAATATATATTATCATTGAATTATAAGAAATAAAAACAAATGTTCATTTATCAACCTACTTCAATGAAATTGTTTAAAAAAAGAGGGGAAACAAGTAATAAAAAATTTAAAATACTGTTTGTGATGTAGGTATGGCAATGCCAAAAAGTACAAAAACAAGGTAGGAATGAATAGACAAAACCGTACAAAAATCTTTCCAAGAATAACTTTAACGTACAACTAAGTGTTGAATTCCTGTCAGTTGCATGAATTCATGTTTAACTAAAAGTATTTAAACAGAATAGTGCCATACAGTCTTGCAGTGGCTAATAACCATAAGCTTGTAAGACTGACTCAGTACTTACTGGCTACTTATTTCTGGATTTTTGTATGATTTTGTGTACTCATCCCTACTTTCTTTGTGTACTATTTGGCATTGCCATCCCTACATCATACATAATTTTTGCCAAAAAAAGAAAAGATTATTACTTGTAAATTATTATTATTTTTTCCAGTGTAAATAAAAATTTCCTCAATATTTCCACTTGTAATATACTTCGTTTACATAAACACGTTTCAAGGCACTTAAAATCATCGTGAGCTTAAACTATAATGTTGAAAAATAGTTGTTTAATTTCTTAAAAACATAACTTTTTTTAGAAGCCAACATGCCTTACAGTGCTTACACGGAGTTACAGTATTTTTCGGAATATAAGACGCACCCTTATTTTGAAGACAAAGTTTTGGGGAAGAAAA